TTGTACACGTCGTGTAAGTGATCCTTTCTAACTAATGAATGAATTGAAAAATTGATTTCTTCGTCGTTTTTTTTTTTCGTTTCGTGACGAATGCAATTTGCTATGAAAACTCAGTTATTCATGGTGCCGATATTAATCCTTGGTAATGCAAATTAAACGTTGTCAAGGTAAGTACTCATCTAATTGTTACTGGCAGCAGTGAAGTTCGGTCGGTTTTGTGCAATATAGTTTTCAAATTGCCAGAGAAATCAAATCCGTATTTCCATGACGTAAGACTACTCTATAAATTTTTTAGTGACGATTATTTTATAGATCTCTTAGCTATGGTTATAAATACACTTTTGCCTTCAAAAAAAAAAAGATTAGCAGTTTCCACTAGGATCGAGTATGTAGAAACTTTTATGTTATATATTACTGGCCATCACATATTGCCTTGCGATGCTTGAGAAGCGATGATCTATTGACATTGTTTAAAAAAAGTTCATTTGCTTTTCATTTCGTGAAATTACATATATGACTCAGCTCAGAACAAAGTTTATCATTTAATCTAAGAGATATGGGGAACTTATCCTTGCCCATCAGATGCAATTCGGCTTTTACGTGGCGCAGTTTTCCAGAGTTCCAGTTCAAAAGTCATTAGAATCTGTTGCGGGCATAGGCTTCTGGATTGTTTCGAGACCCTTCAAAATTATTGTCACTGGCTGGTGTAAAATCCAGCGAGTATGAATATGTAGGTCCAGTTCATTTGGCTTCCACAGTCGAGTTTTCTATCTGTGGTGTACTTCCAAGCAAACGAACATCGCAAAAGCGAATTTAGCGCTGGTACAAAACTCTGTCTCAGTTATCTACTTGTCGCGCCTCTCACAATCCCGGCTTGGCACTGCACTTGCTGACTGCTAGCAAGCCCTAAATTTGCCATCCTCAGTATGATAGCCTGACTGCCTATTAAAACTCTACGTACCTTTGCTGAGCAATGCCATTATATGAAATGCATCTATTATCAAAGCTCTTGTTCCTGTTCCTTGGCAAAGTTTCGACTTCGACAAGAAAACTGCAGTTAGCCTTTTTTAGTATGTTATCTTAGGCACCAGTATCATCGTAGAACTGATGATTCCTTGCCTTACCGTATCTGACCTCTTATGAGGGGGTGGGCTTTGCCTACCTCATGCAAATTGGAAGGTCCTTGACTCAATCTCCTACACGCTTGGACCACCTAAGGTCATACTTGTTGTTTTCGGTACAGTAATCGCAATAAACACTGAACCACCAATCTCTTGTGTATCACATTTCTCATTGTTCCTTATACGGGCCCACCCTTCGCCCAAGAGTCTCAACCCCGCTCATTGCTTGGTGCATCGGCCTAATAAGCCTAATACTCCCGCGTCACTGGTTTATTTCTTTTGGCCCCTGGAGAGAGACTAGCTCATTGAGCACTTCTATAGGGCATAACCTTACCCCGTGAATCGCATAGATTCTAACAAATCGTTCCTCTACCAAGGCAGCTGGATCCCTGTTTGAGAGTACTCACGGCTGATCACTGGTCTTTTGCAAAAGCGGACCTACGT